GATAATGATGATGTCTAGGAGGCATAATCCCTCTTTTCTACCCTTAAATCTTTACCACGCCCAAACACACAATTAACAAGTTCACACTGTTGAATTACATCAATGTCCAAATTATGTGCCATGGAAATAAGAGTTGAGAAAATTTAAAGCAGAGTGTGATTTGCCTCTCAGTTTCATTTCCACTCTTTCTTATTATTTTTATTCCAGAAGCTTTATTTAAAATTGGTAATTTTGCCATCAAATTTCATGGTGAAATTTTAAGGTGCTGTGGAAAAAAATGTAGATTGGGAACCTAAGTTGGAAGTCTCAACTTAAAAGATAAGCTCCTTTTTAATGGTAATGTGGTTTCCTAGTTCTTTGTAACCCAATATCTTGTTTTTGTTCCCACCCCTTGTTTTGCTCTCCCTCAGACACTAAGTGAGCTGCCAACAGAATAATGATTTCTCTTGAGATAGGCTTATTAGTTCCTTGTCTATTATTAAAATCCATATTGAGCTGACAATTATCCATGGACTAAATGGGGAATATGAAAAACTGTATAATCAGAAACAATCTAATACACATGGTCTTCACTTACTGACTGCTCATTCAGCAACTATTTAAGTTACAACAACGCTGAAACAAATTTACGACCAGACCCTAAAGTTCTGCCCATCAAAGTATCCTCCCAGTCATGTAATCACAATTCAGGTGCATATTTATAATGATCGCAACGTCCCAGAGTATCATGATAACCATTTGCAATCTTCAAAGCCAGCTTCCAACAAGCAAAGTCAATGGGGAAGCCAGCAGGAAGTTGCAAATTGTGGACATATGATGTGATGCTTTACAGTGCTTGTTGATTTGCTTAATAACTGCAGTTTGAACTGGCATTATTAAGTTCACATAAATCGTGTGATGTTTCACTTTATGGCCATGGTGCTTATTAGCAGAATTGCCAGTTTCGATCATGATTGGTGAGGACCAGCTAAAGACATAATTTGACTAAATCTCTATATAGGAGCCTATGTGTTTGAAAAATATAAAGATGATGGCCCACATAAAAAGGGGCAGGTCTTCAACTGCTCAACTGCAGCTTCCATCTTAACTTTTTAATGTACCTCTTCCCAATAGGGACCCCAGTGTCTCTAACCATACAGTTCATGGTATTATTAGAGTGAGATGACAGAACTTCTTATTGACTGATAATTGATCAAAAGAGAATGTAAGTTCCTGGGCAGTTGTCATAATAAACAGACATTGGAGATTTCATGTGATTTAAGATGTTCATAAATCATCTGAAACTGGTATAATCAATGAAAAAGATTAATTTGCAGGTAATGTAGCAAAATGAAATTCTAATTAGATAAGAAGAAATTCAAGCTTGATAGGATTATTGTTTTTAAAACTGAGAACTTGAGAAAGAATGGGTATGAGTTTTTCAAAGGGGGGGGCGGATTGCCCTGGGATCATCCACATGGAGAGAACCTCATCCAAATTATCAATATTTTTCATTCTAGGCAGTAGAATTCTAGGTCAAGAATTCTAGGTCAAGAATTATTTTTGCATTTTAGGTTATTCCACTTGCTCCTAATTATTTTGTTATTGGCTATAGTGGATCAAAAGCCATGAAAAAAATGGATGTATGTGGAAGTATGTCTGAGTGTGAGTTTGCATGTACGCTGAAATGGCTGTTCTGCCCTTTGACCTCCCAGAATCTTAAAAAGCTTCTGCTTCCTTTTGAAACTCTTCAGCTTCTTTTAATTCTGTTATCATTGACTTTGATCTTGAGAAACGGGAGTGTGGACATAACGCACATACCTGCATATACACCCCGAGCACACGAGAATGGTATTGGGACTGTCTTTGGCTCGTGCTCACTTGGAGGAGGCTCATAACTGTCATCACAGTTCTCTTCTGTGGGAACCACATACATCTCAGAATCGGAGTGGTGATCTGGATTTTCATAATCGCTGTCCTGGAAGCAGAAGATTGCTGAATTTCTTAGGAAACTGTGAAATGCAACTTTTAGAAATGGTTCAATATATTATGAATGATGAGGTTCAACAACTAAAAGAATCCCTTACTTTATTGACACCCAAATATTACCAAAAGTCCCATCATTTTGTGCCCTACACATACTGTGGATTGTAATCATTACTTTCAGATGTGAATGTTCAATCATAGTCTAATTGGGTGACAGGCCATTGCATCTATTTCTAAATGGTAGGATGATAGCAAAAGTATTTTGGCTTACAACAGAGATCATGACTTGCATACAATAGCGTGAGCCTGCTGGGGAGAAAACTGGGCTTTGATTGTGCTTATAGCATGCTGGCGAAAGTGTGTCCAAACCAATTGTGTCCAATTTATTATTCCTGTCTTTATTATTTTTATAAATAACTCAAAGTGATGAATATACTTAATTCATAATAATAATATCTAACTCCCTCCTCCTATTTTCCCCGCAATAACCCTGTGAGATGCATTGGACTGAGATACAGTGACTGACCTTAAATCACCCAACTGGCTTTAATGCCTAAGGCAGAATTAGAACTCACAATCTCCTGATTTCTATCTTGGTGCCTTAACCACTAGACCAAACTGGCTCTCATTCTTAAATGAAAATGCTGCCTGTGATACAGTATGGCTAGCCTGGTGTAAGGCCTTCTGTAGCATACTAAAAAGCATTCTGTGTTAAGTCTTGATTAGCAAAGCCACAATGGATACTAAAACGTAATATGTATGGGTCCATCAACCATCATAGCATGTGGAACACCCTGACTTAGAATGTAGAAGAGCTTAAGTTAATGAATGAAAGGAAACAAAGAAGGTATATTGGGACCTGTGAAATAAGGGGAGCAGAATAATAGATCTAAATAGATGTAGCCTGATCTTGTAAAAAGGAGTTGATATATGCATGCAGGGAAGTGGGAATGTTGGTTTAACGATGAATGAAAGGCTAAATGTATGTCAGAAAGTGTAAATTAATACTACCTCACAGTTGCCTATGAAAGTTGGAATCCATAAATTGTTGATAGGTACAGAATGGTAATAGGAGCTGTGATAGTGGAAGAACCAGAGATGAGTATAAATGAATGTGATTTGGATAAAAGAACATTCTGTTAGGTGACATGAATGAATGGAGGGGAACAAGGTGAGTGTTACTGTGGCTATCAAAAGAACAAAGGAATAAGAATGGTGTTTCTTTGGTGGATATGTGCTTAGAAAAAGCCTTTTCTTGGTTTAAGCATGCCTATTTGTGCAATGACACGGAGGAGTGAGTTGAAAAACACGATTGATTTTATTGTTTATGAAAAAAGTTGAGATAATCAATAAAGGAATCAAAAATGTTAAGTAAGTCTGAATATGAGACAGTTCATTATTTAGTAATGTCAGCAGTGGAGCTTGGAAAGAATAGACATGGAAGAAAAAGGAAAAATAGAGAAAAACTGAATAACTGCAGGAAAAAAATTATAAATTCCATATGAAAAAGTATTACAAGACAAATAAATCTTCCAACAAAAAAAGGAGAAAGATGAAATGGAAGAGGCTATGAAGAAAATGAACTAAACAAGAGAAGGATGGTATACAGGGCTGTACTAGAAACATCAGGACTTGATGACGTCAGAAGGAAGGAAGGAAAGAAGGAAGGAAGAAAAAGGAGGGAAAAAAAAGATAGAAAGACTGTGATTATCTTCTTCCTTGTGAAGCCAATAAATAAGAATAGCTGCAGTTTTACGACACTGAATTCACTGCAGCTATCTAAATGTGAAATAGCATTGTAGAAGTGTCAGAATTCATATGGAATTCAAGGAGCCATGATTAATCACCATAAAAATATTTGATCTTCTTCTGAATCTGGCTGAGATGTCATTTTATGCTCTGATCTCAAAGCTAATTTCAATTCTAGCAGTCTTTATTGCAAGCATTTACAGTAAGTAAAGTAGTTCCCAGTTTCCCCAAATCCATCTTTAAGTCAGATTTGTATCTAAGCTGGAGCAATATTATTATGTAATACTGTATAAGTAATATTGGTTAATAAACTTGAACCATAATGTATTTAACTTGAATCATTGTATATTTAGCTTGAATTTTGCTACAATAGGCTCCATTAATCACTATCGGTTGTCCCTAAATTGAAGTGTTTTAACCCAGGTATTTGCTGTATTGATATGTCAGGGTGGCCAAATAGACATAAAAATGTGGATAAAAAAAGAGCTTCAAAACAGTGTGATCTGTGGACTTTTAGACAGATGGGTGCACAGATGGATAGACTGACTGAGACTTACAGCCATTTTTTAAAAGTAGCGACTGCCTGAAAATTTACAGATCCCAACACATCTTGAAGATCTAAGTGGGAAAGGCTATTACACACTGAAAAATTCACAAAATTTATAGCTGTATACATGTAATGTTTGAAGCATAGAGGAGCAGAGGACTAAAAAGAATCAGTATTTAACTGCAACCTCACAACTGAAACTCTGCCCCTTTTCTTATGGGCAATGGCCTAATAACAGCTGCCATCTTGGTTTTGACTGCCCCTGCTGATGCTCTGGGTGGTGAAAAAACTTACAAAGTCATCTGACCACTGTTCCTCTTCTTCTGTACGGTCTAAAATAAAAATTAGAATTAAGTTGTTAGTTAAAATATTTAAATAGTCATGTGAGCAAGATGCCAAAGACAAATGTTCTCATCTGTACTACAGTTCTATAATAAAGTTAGGTTTACATGAATATTAATTCATTATTTATATCACTATATCTGGCAAAAGCAGAAAGACTGGGCCCAGTCACATTTATGGGCACACTAAAACATGATTAAATTAAGACATGTGGATTTTAACTGATTAATGTTGGATTGCATCCACTGAAATTAATGAAAATAAATTATACAGTTAAATGGTTGATGGTAAACTCTTCAAGCATTCTTCTTGATTTTCTTCCTTTTTAATATAGAGAGTATAGCAGTAGGCCCTATAATATAACTATAGGCTCTATAGACAATGTATTATATAAATTACATTAAATGTTTGAGTTGGCTACCATTTTCTTCCAAACACTTGTTTTTTTGTTTGATACTTGATCTTTGAACATTTTTAAGTACAATAGCAATAGTACAAAATCAAAATTCCAATTAGGATAAACAAATCAAATCAAATACGTATAATTATATTGAAATTTGGGATAATCTGTGTAGGATGAGATTTGATAATCAGGTTTTATTACATCTACAATCTTTGCATTTTGTGGGAAAATATTTCCTCTTCTTTTTCATTTCTGGTTAGTTAGTTCTCATATACCTAATGAGATCTTTGTAGGGCTGACGGAATTCCTGCAGATACATTTAATGGTAGTAATTGATGTTTTGCTTTGTTGCATGCCAGCCTCTTACTTAACTGTTTAATTTTTAAAAAGGTTATTTAACAAATCAGGAGCCAAGAGGTGAACTGTATTTCTCCATCTCCAGGGGAATCCAACAAGGAGAATTAAAAAAAAAATCAAGATGGTGACATACAAGGACAAAGGGGGTGGGTGGGTTATATCATGGCTGCCATTTGACTTTTTATACTTGCCTTACAGAGTCCCTACGTCTCCCTATTATATGCACAACCACAACCATGAAGTGGTTACACCAATGGTTGTTGTATTCCCTGTTCATTTTTAATCACTGTTAAATGCCCAAGAGTCACTTTGATGAGATGGGTGGCCATATAAATAATAAAATAAAATGAAAGACTGAGCTATGAACAAAATAATCTCCCTTGGTTTTAGGAGTGTTTGTTCAAATGTGGGAATAGCGTTTTAGTTATAAATCTTCCTTGTTAAAATATCTTATCCATCCATCCATCCAACAGTTATTTCAATTGCTAGATTATAGAGATGTTGGTCTTAGCCAATTGGCTTCCTTCTGCAAAGTGTTGAAAGCAGCAGCCCTTTCTCATCCTTGAAGAAAACTCAAACTGTTAGGCCAGTTGAAATGAGAAGATATTGTACCAATGTGTCCTTCATCTTTCAAAACATTTCAAATTATATATTTATGGTCCCAGTCTGATAAAGTCTTTCTTCTTCAAGAAAAGCGAGTGGGATGGGTGAGCCTCAGTCACAATGGCTGCAGGCTGCTTGATCTGCAGCCACTGACTTCCTAAATTTAGGTTGTACAAATAATATCAACATAAGTCTTCTTACAAGCACAAGTGACAAATAGACATGTTATTTGGGCAAATATTCCTGTTGCAGGTATCTGCAAAGTTCTCCGTAAGAATAATGAGAACTAAGAGAGCCCTATAAAAACTAGGACTGAGACAGAATTTGATTATAAAGGATCTTCAAAGTGGATCCTCCTTAAATCACGTCCTATGTACACAGTGCTTTTCTGCTGAGCTTCACAAATGGCACTCTGAAGTATTTCCCCAAACTGTAGTTAAACAAAGGTTGCAGACAGTTTTCTGCTTGTTAGGACATGACCTTCAAGCTGATGCAACTTTCTGTGGTTTACTTTAGTTTCTAAAAGCAGAGAAAATTATCCTGGATTCTTTATGGTACTGCAGGAGAAGAATGATCAAAAGGACATTTTGCGGCAAGTATGCACTGAAGGTACTCTTACTTCTGCTTTTGATGAGAGACAGTACTTTAGCAAGTGGAAAAGATTTGTTTTGTGTAATTCCCATATCACTGAGAAAACATTTACAAATAGTCCTCGACTTATGGCCATAATGGAGCCTGCCTATCATGGTTGTAAGCCATAACAGTCATAATGGCCGACCCAATTTTATAATTGTTTTGACAGTGGTCATTAAGTTAACACTGCAATTGTTAACCAAACCAATGGCTTGTAATGGGCCAGTCGTAAGCCGAGAACTATCAGCATACATTTCAGTCATATAAATCACCTGACAGGCACAACTGAGGAAAAACTAGGGACTGTCTTCCACCCTAATTGATGTGATGCTTGCATGCACACATACCACCATCTTGAATCCTACGCCTCTGATTTACATGCCTGCATCAATCCTAAAACCTAATAATGGTGTTAATTCCATACCTGGAACATAATCAACTGGTGGTATGCTTGGTGGTGGTTTACTTGTTAACCTGTGGGGAAAAAAAGTGTCATTTTTCATTTTCTATATAATTGTGGGATGGCAACAGTTGGCACTAGAGCAAGGACTACAGCAACTACAGAAAACTAGTAACAAAAGACATATGCAGAATTCCAAAGAGACTAAGCAAAACAAACATAATAATGCAAAAGAATCTATATATACTCTCTCTCTCTCTCTCTCTCTCTCTCTCTCTCTGTGTGTGTTTGTGTATTCAGACATGGCTACTTCTATAGAAAAGACAATTAACACGATAGTTGCAGATATAAAAGATATGCAGGTTGCTGGTTAGTCACAAAGGTATAGAATGTAGTCTGTGCAATGCAAAATAGAACATGGACATTTGTATTTTTAACAGGATGTGATGCAATTGGCTTCAGAATTTCTTGGTATTTTAAAACAGGAATAGATCCTTCATTTCAACCAGTATTTTGCAGTTAAAAAGACTCATGGCTTTGTTTTCTAATTCTATTCAGCTTTACAAAAACTTGAGACCAATTTTGGTTCCTTCCATCACAAAAAACGCTATTGATTTATGCAAATCTGATCAGAGTAGGATTTAGGCCATAAATTATTTTAACTGGAATAGCCTGCTTAAATGAATGCAATTTCTCTAAGACAAGTACTGAATAAATAATTGAGAATACTGGAGCCCACAATGTAGATACGCAGCATTCAAAATTTGGAAACTTTGGTGTTGTCTTTGGGCCAAGAGACAAATGTCTTGTGAGATCATGGCTTCCTAGCTAAGATTGCTCCATTTCTTCCCAAAAATCTCATTCATGACTCTTAAATTCCATTTTCAACAGTTACCATTGTAACTTGGCTGGTCTTGAAAAGGCTAACTAGGTTGTATAGGAGCATGGGAGACCACAAGGGACATCCAAGGTAGGTGATACTGAGCAATTATTTCAAATGCTAAAAATAATAATAGAATTTAATGTTTGTATATTAATTTTTAAGAACAATTGTCAGAGCAGGTGGTAGCACTTAGCTGACTTTAAAGAAAACTAAACAGAGTCAGACCTAGTCAATATGGGAGAAGTAGGATACTTCCACTAAGAAGTCCCACAGAAGATCAAGACAATTGTTCTTAAAAAACAATATACAAGCATTAAATTCTATTATTATTTTTAGCATTTGAAATAATTGCTCAGTATCACCTACCTTGGATGTCCCTTGTGGTCTCCCATGCTCCTATACAACCTAGTTAGCCTTTTCAAGACCAACTGGTTGGGAAACTGAAGAAAATCATTCCCAAAGGAAACAATGGCCACTGTTTTCTTATTGTTGCCAAGAAAAAAAAATCAAACCCAAACAAAGAAAGAATGTATCCATGGAGTCACCAAAATTCGATCTTCCCTCAGGGAAGCTTTTACCTTGCATTTCATGTAAGCGTCTTGTTTTCCACTGACGTTGTTCACTAACTTGAGGACGTCAGATGGAAAGAAAGGGAAGTGTTTTTGAAATAAGATTTACAAAGCACTTTTCAAGGTCTCCTCGGCAAGAACAAATGAGAGTGATGCCAAGAGCCTAAGGCACCAGGAAACAAATTAAAAAAAAAACCTTTCTCATTTTGCTCTCCTGCTTGTGAGTTTTATTCACCCAGAGCTAAATAGAAGCTTATTGTGAAGAACACAAAAAAGATGATTATTAGGGCAGCAAAGTGTTTTTGACATTGTCCGCATCTTCCAGACTCAAGAAACCTTTTCAAAAATAGCATCTAAAGTCAAAGCCAAGATGAGAAAAGTATTAGTTAAATTAATTAATTAATTTAGACTACTAAAACTGCAAGAATTGGAAGCCAAGCTACAACATGAAAAAACCGCAAAACTCTTTTTTAAATAGGAGTCTCAGCTAGAAAGCACTTCTAAGATTGAGGTGGGGCGAAGGAGATCAGCTTTTTATATTATTATTATTATTATTATTATTATTATTATTATTATTATTATTATTATTATTATTATTATTATCATAATCATCATCATCATCATCATGGATCATCGCACAGTCAGCCAGATGTTCAGACTGGATTTGGCATTTTGTCTACCTATCGAGTCCTTCCCAAGGACCTGGTATAGGCAGATGTGGATGTTTGATGGTATAACAGATATCGTCGCAGGATGGAAGCATTTCCTAGTAAGGCCGCCTTTTGCAATTGACTAATGGCGAATTTGTCAATGCCAATGGTGTTCAAGTGGTGCTCCAGTTGTATAATAATAATAATAATAATAATAATAATAATAATAATAATAATAATAATAATAATAATAATAATAATAATTTGCAACTGGGGAGGACTGATCTTTCTGACTTTTTCTTTTTAGCCTCCAACAACTACAAAGATTGTAGCTGGTGGCCCAGTGGGAAAAACAGCAGTGAAATCTGTGAGTTCTTTGGAAGCAGCAAAAATCTGATTGGGAGCAATATCCTGTGCATTGCTTGCCTCTTTCCTACACTATGTTAAGCTGCTTGGCAATACTCAGCATCTCTTATCTGGGAAGAAACCTTATCAAATTCCATGAGATTTACTTCTGTGTAGACAAAAACATATTAACCATGCTCAGGGAAGACAAATTTCCCAATTTTTCCCCTCTGAAGTCCTCTCTCCCTCTGAAAGGTTCCTGTAGATTTGAAAGTTAGGGTTGACTATTGTGTGCAAATTGCAGTGAGAAACTTGATGGAAGTTCAGTCAATTCTTGCTCTACCCAACTACCCAAGGGAGTCTTTGACAATCTGGAATGTATCATTGGTTAGATTTTGTACGTCTTCATTTACACCTTGAGAGACCTAATATTTTACTTATGCAACTTAGCATATAGTGGAAGAATTCCTTGATCACCATATTGGATTTCTACAGTAATTTGAGGCTGGTCAATTACTTCTAGAGATGGGGTTGGCTTTTACAAAGCATTTAATATATTTTGAGCTATTTGCTGCTTTTAGAAAATACTTGCAGGTTCCCACATGCCCGAGGGAAATATGCCTAACTGGAGTTTTTCTTTTGCACCATGTGGTAAATCAGATCTGCTTATGAAAATATGTTCCAGGCATATATCATAGAATAAGGGCAACATGTCATGGTCCTTTAGACTAGAGATGTCCAACCAGAGGCCCATGGGCCAAATGAGGCTCTGGACAGCTAATAATGCAGCCCCACAAGATCATAAACTTTTAACATTATTATATGATTTATATACATTAACTATATTATATATTTTATATGTAGCCCAAGACAATTCCTCTTCACTCAATGCAGTCCAGGCAAGTCAAAAATGTTGGACCCCCATGTTCTAGACCCTGTTTCTGCACTCGTAAGGAAAGGACCTGGAAAGCTAGGACAACAGCCTCTGGATGGATCCGATGAAAGGCAAAGAAGAGAGAAAGTCATGCTTCTAATCCTTGCTATGTTAAGAGTGGGTTGAAGCCCATGTAGCAAATGCAAACAACATCACACTGAAAGCAGGCAACAGGACATCATGCTACACAATCAGCGCTTGTACAATGCTAAATTGTCATACCGATCCCATGTATTTTTTCCAGTTTTGCATATTAAGGCCACTTGTTCATTTTGGAACCTATACATCGGCAGGAGAAAAGGAATAAGCAAAACAGTGATTCTCAAGTAGGTTAATTTTGTTTGCTTATGAAAGTTTTTAGCAATAATTCTATTGTTTTAATAAATGGAATTGCCTAAGACACGCACACCACCAATATTGTTATATTATCTCAAAACAAACAATAGTTTAATGTTCAGCTAAGGCAGCCACATTCACTTGCAGGAAAAGTTTATGCTGCTCTAGGTGGGAACTGCAAAAGGGCCCCTTCAAACACCGTTTTAAAAACTCAAGTGAAGTTTGACAATTGAATGAAATAAGGAACAAACTCCTTTGAGTGCTGCCCTCATATATATGAACTTCAAGATTGCAGCCCACAAGTGCTTAGTGATGTACTTGTGTGACAAGCATCTACAAGTAGTCTGTGACTAACAACCACAATTGGGACTAGAGCTCCCATTGCTAAGCAAGGCGCTTTTTAAGTGAGTCATGCCAAATTTTATGACCTTTCTGTCATGGTTGTTAGGTGAATCACCTGTCATTAAATGAGACATCCAATCTTTAAGTGAATCCAGCTTCCCCCATTGACTTTGCTTATTGGAAGCCAGTTGGAAAGGTCAGAAATGGTGATCCTATGATCCCAGGATCCTGCAACCATTATAAATCCATGCCAGTTACCAAGGGATTGAATTTTGGTCACATGACTGCAGGGACAATGTGACAATCGTAAAAACTGGTGGCAAGTCATTTTTTCCAGTGCCACTAAATGGATAGTTGTACCTTAAGGACTACCTGGACTTTCACAGCCTTTGCCATAAAGAACAGCTTTGCTAGCTGATTAGGAAAAATAAACTTGGTTTTGATTTGGTCTTTGACAGTTGCTTGCTCTTAAGAAATCAACAGATAAGTAAAAAGTTCATTGCTATCAATGCAAATGGATAAAGCAGCAGGAACAGATTATATACAGAGTTACCCATCTGGCTAACCCTTATTATAAAAACTTCATTCTACGCTGGATGATGTTTCCAGCTCCCTGAGAGAAACTTCAGTTAGAGCAGGGGTATCTAACCTTGGTGACTTTAAGACTTGTGGATTGTGAATTCTGGGACTTGAAGTCCCTAAGTCTTAAAAGTTGGACACCCCTGAATTAGAGTTTCAATATTGTCAAGAGCTCTCTAGACAGAGATATTTCATATTATGTCACCAGTTCCCCTTTTGTGTTCAACTCTGTTATAATGTATTGCCTTCCTTTTGATACTGCTCCCTCTCTCTTTATATGCTTCACCTCACTTCTCTGTCTTAGTTCAGCAAAGGAAACTATCTGGGCCATCTCAAGGCGTGATGGGCTGCTGGGGTCACGAAATGGAATGGTCAAGAAATTGTGATTCATTCTTAGTCCCAAAGGAGCTTTTTCACAAGGCAACTGGACTTTCTTTTTTCTCTTTGAAGACATTTCGCTTCTTATCTAAGAAGCTTCTTCAGCTCTTCTTCAGCTGAAGAAGCTTCTTGGTTGAGCTGAAGAAGCTTCTTGGTTGAGCTGGATAACCATGACCTGGATAACTGAGAATCTCCATAGAGATTCATTTTTATGATTTAAGGGGCACTTGATTGCCACAGCAAAAGTTTATCTGCCTTCTTCTCCCTTTTCTTTAAAAGTCAAAATCTTTACATTGGCCATTGAATTATAGTTCACTTTGATACATTGCTTACAGGCTTGATATCTTATCTCTGCCAATTGCTGTTCTTTGACATGTTATTCTGTTGAGAGAAGGCTGGTCATACAGCTTTTTATATTTATTTATTTATTTATTAATCAAATATAGCTGCCCATCTCACCAAAGGTGACTCTGGGAAGTGCAGAATAATAAAGTATTCATTAACCACCCAAACTTCTGAACTCTGAGAATATTGTCATATTATCAATAGGACTTTGATGTCCTTTACATTTTGCTTAGAGGGAAAAAACACATCAAGTACAGCTTCATTTAGTAGGAAAGCTACTACATCTTGTTCTTGGCTGCAGAAAGCAAAATATACTGGTCTAAACTTGTCATCCCCTCCCCAACCCACCCTTTTCTCCCAGGACAATCCCATTAGCCAAAGACCTATCCTGATGTGACTGTGCCTTCTTGTTTCTGATATTAAATCAGGCATTGTTTCTTTGTTTTGAGTCAATATAGACTCTCTTTTGCTGTTTACTAAATGACAGGCACCTGCTTAGTCACCACCTGAACTAGTAACCTGAGAATACCTTATGCATCAAAGCCACAACAAAATAGAGAATTGGAGAACTTCAGCAAAACTTAAATGGAGCCTCCCTTGAAAAGCTAATATGCTGTTGCATGTCAGCTGTTGAAACAAAAAATAGGGGACAATTTTGACAACTGTTTTGGTCAGACTGTGAGCGCGATGGGACCTTTGACATCTTCCCACAAGGCAATGATACTTTGAATGCCCAACCTTATTGGGGTAGTTATGGTTTATATCTGTTGATCAAGGTTATCATATGTGAGGTGGTGAATCTTTTTTCTGTCAAGCAGAACCTTTTCTCAGAGATAATCCCACTGAGTCTCACATAAGTCTAGTCAAATGTAAGGATATCTTCCCTATCTCTGAGTCCTCTTTAATGCCCTTTGTTTGCTTCCTCTGAGGAGTAGGGGAACCTTATCAAAAGGCTGAACTGATTTCTTTTCTTTGATAATTGGAGGTTAGGTTGAGAGTTGCAGATTTTCCTGCAATTGTGTGCCTTTTCTCTCCAACAGCTACGTGTTACAGATGGGCAAGAGAGATCGCTCACACGCAAACATTTCACAACAAGTCCTAATCAACTGCCAGGAAAAACCATTTTGGGGCTGAGTAACGCTGTCTTCAGATAGATAGAAGCATTCCTTTCCTCATTAAAACCCTAGGGGGGAAAAACGTCCTGCTTGTCAACTGGACTTGGAAAAAACTTCACCTGAATTACAAGAGACACAATAGGGTTGTGCAGTGTATCATTTCCCAAAGGTTCTTTAGAGTGTGCAAAATACAGCATTGCAGGCCTCTTTCCCAGGAATGTACTCTAAAGCAGCTTTTTTGGTCCAATTTCAAGTGCCACAGAATCCTAAGTAGCATTTCTTAAAAGTCCAATTGCTGCAGAAGGCAGGGGACAGTTTTTAGGATCCTACAGATTGAAGAGGAGGGTCTGCAGAGTGCATTGACCATATGACCCCCTCTTGTCCCCCAATTAGAGCCTTGGAGAAGCAGAGGCCTCCAAAGGTGAGGGAGGCAGGTTTGGATTTGCAAAGGAAAATAATAATTTTTGCAGGGAAATACAAATTAATCAGGAAGGATTCTTGTTCTGGAATACTCTTCTGTGGATAATTTATATTTAGGCAACTGTTTCAGGGATAAATATAGACTTAAAAGTATACACAGCAGATGTGGGTGTGGAAAATGGCTGTTAGAAAAATTGCTATAAGATCTCTGAAGGAGGGACAGCAATTGTGTTTGTTTTGTTTTATCATGCTGATTGCAACAGAAGTGGACAAGTTGATATTATGCTCCCAGACGAGATAGGCAGCAGTTTTAATGCAGATGTTGAAACTTTATCCATTAAGAGAACGTTGCGCAATAATTGAGACAGAAATGCAGATCTTCAGAGATTGGATATCTTAATATTATAAAATGGAATGATCACGGGTCTAAAATGCTCGCCTTGATGTAGATTGCATTGTAGAGACGGGCTGGATTCATGTTAAATTCTAGTTTGTTTAACTATGAAGGACTTAATAAGGCAGAACTAAATTGGTTCAAACAATTTGCCAATTCCAAATAAACAGACTGCTTTATGGCTTAGCAGGTGAATAAAGCTCCCTGAAAGTTGCAGCTTGTGTCCCTGGTGATTTCCTGGTCTGCACAGGTCAGGTTCTCCACATTGCCCCTTAAAGGAGGGGAGTAGAATTTGCTATGAATACCAGCCATTCTTATTTAGGGAAAAAGGAAGGAATGTGTTCAGAGATATCATCTGAAAAGATGGTCAGGTTTTGCCTGTTCTTTCTCGTCACTCAGAATGTGAACACCTATGGGGAGGTGATGAAACGTACACAGTGATACACTTTCCAGCAATGTCATGACACACACACAAAAGGGTAAGAGTTGTATTGAGACACTCTGATGCATGTTTCATCATTTTCGCCACATTATAACTAGCTGCAGTCCCTCGTGACTCTGACTTGACTACTGATTTTATCATTGTCCCACTGTTCACATTGGAAGCCACTGAAGATAGAAGCTATAGCACACCTTTTTTATCCAGCTGAACTAGAGGGTATGAATTTATTTATTTATTTAGCACGTGGACTAGCAATATATATTAACATTTCATCTAGATTAGTAGAACACCCCCCAAAATATAAATGTTAAAAAAAATCTATGTTCAAATATTAAGTGTCTAGGCTATCTAACCATTGAAGCACAACATCGTTTGTACTAAAAAAATAAGATACTGGACTGGTATATCCCCTCAGCTTACAGCCGATCATGATGTGATCTACAGTTTGACATGGGACCCCACAGTCACACTGAGGAGGAAGATACTATGCCCCATTTATACAGAGAGTCTCAGCAGATGCTATTGAGGTATGAATCCTATTCAGTATTGTCCATTGCTGATGTGGTGTTTTGATCCCACAAAAAAAAAAGGCATGCCACCTTTTTAGTGAGGCCATTTATATGTCTTCTTATGTCTGGGCATTCAGCGACCCATTTGGCTTTCCATTGAGAATTGAAGTTAAAGTTGTTGGGCAGATATTGTGCAAGTGCCAGTAGGGGCTTCCTGGATTTGAGTCTTCCTGCTGATAAATGAGAAAGGTCGGCATGCACCGGTAGAAACGAGTTGCTCATAATTTTTCTGCATTCTCTCACTAATGGCGTCTTGCCTTCGTAAAGCTGGCAGTGTTATATGGCTAAGCACAGAAAGCCAGCAAGTTGGAGTAGTTTTAATACATCTGCTTATAATCCTCATGATGTCCTTGAGTCATACTTACTAGTATGGCAGCGGTTTCATACCAGAGATATGAATTCTGAATATGACAAGATCAGAAAGGAATAGTCACAGATATTAACTGGTTAAAACTTTTTAGGTTGCCGTTTTTCAGCTAGAGGTGATAGAACATTTGCCTCACCCTCCTCTGTCATTTCCATGGAGGCTATGTATTGAACTTATGGTGTAGATTCATGATATGCGGTCCTCCAGATGTTACTTAACTACAATTGCCAGCAGTTTCATCCACCATAAGGGATGCTAGCAATGTGTGAAGGTTCCACCACTTCGGTATTTGCTGAGATTTTTCTAACAAGGATGATGTCCTTATATATGCTTACCTTTTTCTATATAAATGGATGGCTTCCTAACTCTTGGTGACAATAGAGCTGTTAAGATGTTGTAACATAGCTTATATATATATTACCATAACAGATTCTAAATAGTTGGTTGGATAAGACAAGAGCATCAAGAAAAATCTTTTGCATTTGATGTACAGATTATAATATTAAAAAATGTTCTGGAGATAAGCCCAATTGAACATAGAAAAAATGACCACGTACATAGTTGACATAATTACGGAAAATAAGCATCAAAATAAAACAATAATTCCATTGTGTGGATTGCTTACGTGCATAACTTACTTTTTGAACTTGCTCATTATTCCACTATCATTTTTCTTGATATCATGCACTATTTTTTGAAGTTGCCTGTATGAAAAAAAATGGTAAGAATTACTATCAGATTGCACCATTAATTAGATTACAATACATACTGCAACATGCTGAAATACAGCAATGGTCAACCACTTTCACATTGTTACCAAGAAATGCCATAAATCTGTCCATTGAAGTCACAAGAAGTTGAGCATGACTACTGACATCTTTACCTTTTCACACCCAACATCATCAACAATTAAAATATTAACATTTGCCATTGTATTGCCATAAGTATTAAAGTACTTATCTTTCTAGTGAATCTATTTACTGGGAAATGTCAGTAACTCAGTGTCATGAAACGTGCTATAGCATGGTACAAAATCTGTCATTGGACAGAAGATTCAGTTCACATATTGAGGAACTTCCTAGAAAGTGAATGTACAATTATACAAATAAATTATTATCATTCTCATGATGTATTATACAGATAGTCCTCAACTTATGATTGGTTGCTTAGTGATTGTTCAAAGTCATGATGGACCCGCAGAAAAGGTACTTATGACCAAGTTCTGAAGTTCTGATATCATTCCCCTCGCCCAAGTGATGTGACTACATTTTGGGCCCTCAACAACAAGGCTACATTCATGACTATTTGCAGCACCCTGCTGTCATGTGATTGTGATTTATGCCAATTTTGCCAGAGACCAGTGTTTACTTCCAGTTTCCAGCAAAAATTGACCTATAGCGAACAATGAATTTGCTTCACAACTACAGCATTTAATTAATGACCACCACAAAAAGATAATAAAATCAGGTTCAGTCACATGACCCACTTTGTGACCCACTTTATGAACATCATGACTTACAACTGTAATTGCCATGCTAAATTATGGTCATAAGTCAAAGACTAATAGGACAATGTCTTAGTCCTCCTCCTCCTCCTCCTCCTCCTCTATATTCTGCCTTCTGGCCTATAGGATAAATTCTAATTTACAAGTGTATATAAAAGACTGTTTTATATCTGCAAGCAATAACTATTTTAATTGATATGTTAAATATTCTGAAGACTTACATTACCATGTACTCAAATATACATATCCACTGAAGACATGTATTGTCAAGACATTAAATAATTTCTTTAATTAAATACTTTCCTTAAGATGCAAAATGCACCATACTCTTTGTTTTGTATTTTATAACAAAATCAAGTTGTGGACATCCTTTTAAATATATACATTGTTAGCACTCACATACAATCACCAAGAGTGGATAAGTTAAAAATGGATATTTCAAAAGGACTGGCAACTTCCCAAAATAGGTAATTCAAAATGGCATACTTGCCTCCTGCCTCCTGGAGGTCAATTAAAGGTAAAAACAGCATGCAGGATATCTACTGCATAAAAATAGAGAAATTTCCTCACCCCCACTCAAGACGGAGGGGAAGTGGAAGTCATGTGAAACTTTGTAAAATAAATGTGTGACATAATGTCTTCTTATGTAAAGGAAGGTGGACAGTAATTCAATAAGATCAGCCTTCAGCAACTTACTGCTTGGAATTTACTTAACAGCCACACAGCTGAATGGTGTCAGGATGGGAAAGGACCAATTACATATAATTTAATGATTTAATCTGCTGGTATTAGCAGGCACATTTTAGTTCCATCCATGAAAACCTTGCATCTGCTCTGTTTGAATCTGGAATTAACAGCAAGAGTTGTTCTCACTCTTCTCTTGTGGATGACTGTTGTTAGGGATAACACACCTTGGAGGGCATCAAGCAAAAGAAATCTGACTGAAATTCTGGGAAATCGAAAAATCTATGGTTCTCACTGGGGCACATGAGGAGTGTGAAATATCTATCAGCTTCAGTGTTTGCTCCATTACTGTGAAAAGGAATAAATTTGCTGCATTCACTGAAAGAGAAACTACTATGCAGCTGGCATTTTTTTGGGTTGGCAAGTCTTTTAGTTTTGTATAAATAGGTATGCAGGTGAAACTTTTTAAAAAGGATTATAGTTTATGAATAGTGGGTGGAGCTTGCAGGTTCCAAACAATTTCTACAAATATCCTAAAAGAGTATTATGTTTTGGGTTATTACTAGTGATTTTGTTTAATTATTCCAAGATACTTGTAGAATCATAGAACATGTTAATTGGAAGGGACCTTTTAGGGAATCTAGTCATCTTCCATATATCGGCTCTTGCCATCAAGAAATTCCTGCTCATTTTCAATCTGATTATCCTTTGTTTATGAGACAATTTATCAATCCATGACTTGCCTTGCTTTCTAAAGGGAACAGAACAGCTTTTTACATAGATATTTGTAGACCACCATTGTAATTCTCCTTTTCTAGAAGCTTATGTTATCTGATTCCTTTCACCTCTCCTCATAGAGAATAATTTCCAGAACTTATCATACTGACAAGATAAACAATAATACTTTATTAAGATTTCTTTTTCAAAATCCTGTTTAGTAGAAACTGGTAGATGAAGATAACAGTCATTTTCACTCAGCTTTAGGAAGAAGGCAGTGGCAAACCACTTTTAAAATGTTGTCAAGAAAACTACAGGGTCTAGTTCACGCAGCTGCCAGGAGTAAAAAAAAAAAAAATGACTCAAAGACGTACAAACAAGATATTTTGGTCCATAGGTCCTTATAGCTGATTTTTTATGTTCAACATAAGCTATTTTGTAATTCTCAAATAATATAAATTCATAAAACCTGTGATGGCCAAGTGGTTATGACAGTAACTTTGATAATATCACCCATCAAATTAAAGGGATCAGAGCACTGAATTCAATACCCTTTTCCACAGAAATAGTGGACTAGTTTTTCAAGTTGACATAACTTAACCGTAAAATACTTTGAATAGTTGTGTGAAGAGATGTTAATGGCTGATCACTGACAAATAGTTTAATATACATTATCAGTGTCAGAAAGTGTTATAGTGTAGAAATTACACTAGCTCTCCCCAAGTGACCACTGTATTAGAAATTCAATCTCACAATAATTCTTCCTTGTTTTTCTTAGGGAAAAAAATCAGAATATTTAAAAAGCAAATAAATAGAAGATTGCTGCCATTAATCATTGTTTACAAACCATAATTGCAGGCTTTGAACTATGCTGAATTATAACAAAAGAAATAACTCTTATACTTGTAATCCTGCTGTGATTTGGTTTGATTCTACCCAGTTCCCAAGCAGGTATGTCCATGATGGGGTCAACAATCTCAAAAAAGCAGATGTGTCCAGATAATCAAAAGCCACTCCTTTCATGTGCGTGCAATGCACATGAGATATGTTTAAAAAGTATCAGATTTTAGATTGTCAGGACCACATTTTGAGGTGGTTGACCCACTTATGAGTACTTCCGTGTTCAACTTTTTCTCTGTACTAAGATTCCTAATTGTCTAAATTAGAGGTCTCCAAACTTGGCAACTTTAAGGCTTGTGGACTTCAACTCCCAGCTGAGGAATTCTGGGAGTTGAAATCCACAAGTCTTCAAGTTGCTAGGTTTGGAGGCCCCTGATTTAAAATTATCTAAAATCTATCTAAAGGAACCATAATTGTCTAAAATTAAATTAGCAAGAGTATAAAAAGATGAACAATGGAAACAATTATGATAACATGTATGTTTGTGTAAAATATTAATCTGTGGCAAAATTAACTATGATTTATTCAGTCCAATTATCTGAAATTGCATGATACACTGAGTATAAATTAAATACGTTCCCACAATAGAGCAGGCTAAAATGGATTGGCCTTGGCGTGTCTCAGAGTGGCTTATAAAACCAGCCATTATAAAACAGATGTATTAGAAAAAGGAGAAAAAGCAAAGAAATGAAGATGGAGTATAGTTCAGAAGAAGAAAAACTTAGTGTTATCCTAGTTATCTGCTTAATTGAAAATTTTGATTAGCTAGATGTCATGAAGTTGATGTTCACTCTGAGTGACCACATATAGATAATTTTCCCCAGGAGTAGTTGCATAGTAGTTATTATTGAAACAAATTGAGTCAATTAAAACTTTTTTCTAATTATAAGTGTTTAGAAACTGAATGTTCCAATTACTTTAAATAACCTTTTTAATCATGTATTTTTTGAAGAGAAAGAAGTCTTGTCAAAAAGATGTAACAGAAAAAATTAGTTCTTCCTGCTTTAATCTCTGATTGAAAACTGACATTTCATGCGATTAATTTCTTAGCTTAATTGGCAGAGTTGACAGAGCTGTCAATTTGTATTTCCAGTGATAGACTTTCTTTGATCTGCTAAATTAGTTGAAGAGAACATTTAAAGAATTTTTAAAAAGCAATGGACTTCTGTACAATTATACAAGAGGGGAAAAGACAAAGTAGTAGTGGAATTCTATAGAATTTCTTTTGCTTATTGAGTTCATGAGAGCCTACCACTCCTGCAGAATCACCTTTAATGAAGAGAAGAACTAGGGGTGACATGATAGCAGTGTTCCAATATCTCAGGGGTTGCCACAAAGAAGGGGGAGTAGACCTATTCTCCAAAGCATCTGAAGGCAGGACAAGAAGCAATGGATGGAAACTAATCAAGGAGAGAACCAACCTAGAACTAAGGAGAAATTTTCTGACAGTTAGAACAATTAACCAGTGGAACAACCTGCCTCCAGAAGCTGTGAATGCTTCAACACTGGACGTTTTTAAGAAGAGATTGGACAACCATTTGTCTGAAATGGTATAGGGTTTCCTGACTGAGCAGGGGGTTGGACTAGAAGACTTCCAAGGTCCCTTCCAACTCTATCATTATTAGCATTATTATTATTATTATCATTATCATTATTATCATCGTCATCATCATCATCATCATCATCATCATCATCATCATCATCATCATCATCATCATCATCATCATCATCTACTGGCTTGCAGCCTAAATAGAACAACTACAAGAATATTCAATACACTATGTTATTTCAAACACGTATAAAATGTGAGGATTGTGTCAAATTATGACATTATAGACCATTATAGAGTCAAATTATGCAACATCAAAAAGACAACTCTACCAATACTTTGTATTTTAT